TCCCCTTCCCTTCTTTTCCCCTTCCCCTCTCGTCTCATAGTTATCTGTTTCATTTTCCCTGTCCTCTTTCTTCCCCTTTTATACCTTTCCTTTCCCCCCCCCCCACCTTCCGAAGAAAGGGATTGGCCTCACAACGAAGGGCATTTATGTGAGAAAATTCTTAGAAAACGCCCCTCGCCTTATCGTCGCTTCGTATGTTGCTATTAGCGTCGTCTGTATAAATTGTATTTTCAATCCTTTCCTAGATCAGTTCTGATTTGTCTCGCCTGTCCATATAGATTCTTTCAGGTCCATGTGGTATGAATTAGCTTCAGCGTTTGAAGACTTTCTTTTTTCAGACAAGTAAGTTGCTCCGTTTATTTCCTATTAAGATAGCAATGAATGAGGTGTCTAAAAATCAGTACCAGAGCATTATTGGTGCAGGAGAACACTCAACTCGTTGCAAGCGCGAGAAATCACATCTCCCGTCGCAAGCGCAGGAAAACACGCAGCCCGTTGTTGATAAAGGTGTTAGACAGCCTCGCGTAACCTTAAGTATAAGTCAAAAACATCAACCCTTCACTTCCCCTAATGAAACGCGTGTTTGATTTACCAGGACCCCTCCTGAGAATCAGTCGCTGGAACAGCATCAGGCAGACGAAGAAGTAGACATCAAGGTAAAGGAAAAAAAAACCGGTAGTTTAAGGGGGTGGTAGAGGGGGTCACATTTGTGACTTAGGAATTAATCATAGTTCTTTTTAATTGACAGCTTCTGCGCATGATCCGTGAGGAGATTCTTCCCCATTCCGCTGCTCTGCCTAAAGACTTCATGGCGCGAATCATGGCACTTCTGAACAGAGGTTCCATTCACTCCGCTGCAGATGCCACTTTTAGCGGTACGTTGTTTAATAACTGAACTCATCCAAAGAACTACGAAGAGAATGTATGTAAATAGTTAGAGATAAGCGACGCTTATCAGTAACATCTGTGGATTTTTGCACTAGTCAGGCATTTCAAGAAAATCCGTGTTGTGCGTTATTACGTTACATTGGTTGCGGCCGCACTTAGTGAGTTAAACGTGGTTGAGATTTCCAAGTAACTTAACTGGGTTAAAAGTTGCGTATGGTAAAACAACGGAGTTTTATTTTATGAGCGGCCTTACTGAAAGTGGTTGTGAAGTCAATGAAACCATGAGGTAAAATGACAAACGGCAGATTTCAAAGAACTACTTCCTTATTTTGTCGTTATTCTTTCATTGCTTTCGTTTCCTTTCACTACACTCCTGGTCGAGGCAGTCCCTCTTCCTTGCTACGGAAATTTCTAAGGCAGTTCTTTCAATTGCGTATACGTCAGAAAGTTCTCCATCGCCATGAATTTGAAATGTGAAATGAAAGTGGTTGTGAAGTCAATGAAACCATGAGGTAAAATGACAAACGGCAGATTTCAAAAGAACTACTTCCTTATTTTCTCGTTATTCTTTCATTGCTTTCGTTTCCTTTCACTACACTCCTGGTCGAGGCAGTCCCTCTTCCTTGCTACGGAAATTTCTAAGGCAGTTCTTTCAATTGCGTATACGTCAGAAAGTTCTCCATCGCCATGAATTTGAAATGTGAAATGAAAGTGGTTGTGAAGTCAATGAAACCATGAGGTAAAATGACAAACGGCAGATTTCAAAAGAACTACTTCCTTATTTTCTCGTTATTCTTTCATTGCTTTCGTTTCCTTTCACTACACTCCTGGTCGAGGCAGTCCCTCTTCCTTGCTACGGAAATTTCTAAGGCAGTTCTTTCAATTGCGTATACGTCAGAAAGTTCTCCATCGCCATGAATTTGAAATGTGAAATGAAAGTGGTTGTGAAGTCAATGAAACCATGAGGTAAAATGACAAACGGCAGATTTCAAAAGAACTACTTCCTTATTTTCTCGTTATTCTTTCATTGCTTTCGTTTCCTTTCACTACACTCCTGGTCGAGGCAGTCCCTCTTCCTTGCTACGGAAATTTCTAAGGCAGTTCTTTCAATTGCGTATACGTCAGAAAGTTCTCCATCGCCATGAATTTGAAATGTGAAATGAAAGTGGTTGTGAAGTCAATGAAACCATGAGGTAAAATGACAAACGGCAGATTTCAAAAGAACTACTTCCTTATTTTCTCGTTATTCTTTCATTGCTTTCGTTTCCTTTCACTACACTCCTGGTCGAGGCAGTCCCTCTTCCTTGCTACGGAAATTTCTAAGGCAGTTCTTTCAATTGCGTATACGTCAGAAAGTTCTCCATCGCCATGAATTTGAAATGTGAAATGAAAGTGGTTGTGAAGTCAATGAAACCATGAGGTAAAATGACAAACGGCAGATTTCAAAAGAACTACTTCCTTATTTTCTCGTTATTCTTTCATTGCTTTCGTTTCCTTTCACTACACTCCTGGTCGAGGCAGTCCCTCTTCCTTGCTACGGAAATTTCTAAGGCAGTTCTTTCAATTGCGTATACGTCAGAAAGTTCTCCATCGCCATGAATTTGAAATGTGAAATGAAAGTGGTTGTGAAGTCAATGAAACCATGAGGTAAAATGACAAACGGCAGATTTCAAAAGAACTACTTCCTTATTTTCTCGTTATTCTTTCATTGCTTTCGTTTCCTTTCACTACACTCCTGGTCGAGGCAGTCCCTCTTCCTTGCTACGGAAATTTCTAAGGCAGTTCTTTCAATTGCGTATACGTCAGAAAGTTCTCCATCGCCATGAATTTGAAATGTGAAATGAAAGTGGTTGTGAAGTCAATGAAACCATGAGGTAAAATGACAAACGGCAGATTTCAAAAGAACTACTTCCTTATTTTCTCGTTATTCTTTCATTGCTTTCGTTTCCTTTCACTACACTCCTGGTCGAGGCAGTCCCTCTTCCTTGCTACGGAAATTTCTAAGGCAGTTCTTTCAATTGCGTATACGTCAGAAAGTTCTCCATCGCCATGAATTTGAAATGTGAAATGAAAGTGGTTGTGAAGTCAATGAAACCATGAGGTAAAATGACAAACGGCAGATTTCAAAAGAACTACTTCCTTATTTTCTCGTTATTCTTTCATTGCTTTCGTTTCCTTTCACTACACTCCTGGTCGAGGCAGTCCCTCTTCCTTGCTACGGAAATTTCTAAGGCAGTTCTTTCAATTGCGTATACGTCAGAAAGTTCTCCATCGCCATGAATTTGAAATGTGAAATGAAAGTGGTTGTGAAGTCAATGAAACCATGAGGTAAAATGACAAACGGCAGATTTCAAAAGAACTACTTCCTTATTTTCTCGTTATTCTTTCATTGCTTTCGTTTCCTTTCACTACACTCCTGGTCGAGGCAGTCCCTCTTCCTTGCTACGGAAATTTCTAAGGCAGTTCTTTCAATTGCGTATACGTCAGAAAGTTCTCCATCGCCATGAATTTGAAATGTGAAATGAAAGTGGTTGTGAAGTCAATGAAACCATGAGGTAAAATGACAAACGGCAGATTTCAAAAGAACTACTTCCTTATTTTCTCGTTATTCTTTCATTGCTTTCGTTTCCTTTCACTACACTCCTGGTCGAGGCAGTCCCTCTTCCTTGCTACGGAAATTTCTAAGGCATTTCTTTCAATTGCGTATACGTCAGAAAGTTCTCCATCGCCATGAATTTGAAATGTGAAATGAAAGTGGTTGTGAAGTCAATGAAACCATGAGGTAAAATGACAAACGGCAGATTTCAAAAGAACTACTTCCTTATTTTCTCGTTATTCTTTCATTGCTTTCGTTTCCTTTCACTACACTCCTGGTCGAGGCAGTCCCTCTTCCTTGCTACGGAAATTTCTAAGGCAGTTCTTTCAATTGCGTATACGTCAGAAAGTTCTCCATCGCCATGAATTTGAAATGTGAAATGAAAGTGGTTGTGAAGTCAATGAAACCATGAGGTAAAATGACAAACGGCAGATTTCAAAAGAACTACTTCCTTATTTTCTCGTTATTCTTTCATTGCTTTCGTTTCCTTTCACTACACTCCTGGTCGAGGCAGTCCCTCTTCCTTGCTACGGAAATTTCTAAGGCAGTTCTTTCAATTGCGTATACGTCAGAAAGTTCTCCATCGCCATGAATTTGAAATGTGAAATGAAAGTGGTTGTGAAGTCAATGAAACCATGAGGTAAAATGACAAACGGCAGATTTCAAA